AAATTTCATCTCGGTGGGTTATGCATCCCTGCACCCCTCCCCTAGATGCTGCCGCCCCYGTAGTCTTAAACTAGCATTGCTTCTTGTCTGACTCAAACTGTTATTTTCTTTCTAATCTAACTGGAGGTGTGTCTGTATTTGTGTGCTTGCAGGTTCTGTGTCTTTAATGATGCATGCTAGTGCTATGTAACTCACTCACTTGTGGACTCACCTGTTAGGATGCACRAGGTTCGTTAGAGCTGCTTTGTTTTAAATTTTTAATGAGTGTTATTTCTTTCCTTGTCGAAAAGAAACAAGAATAAATAACTTTGTAATAGAATGGCTACCCTGCTTGCAGAGGTTCATTTTCTGCCATCCGTTATTCCTTTAGGCAGGGGGAGACCAGGGGGCACTCACCATTTACCCGCAAATTCCGGTTGGAAAGACAAACGTTATGTATCTTTCCCATTGGAAAGTTCCGGAAAACTCGGTCTTCCGAAAGAAGTAATTCATTTTTCCCGCTCTTTTTGGTCCTTTCGGTAGACGCTAAGACGGTAAGACCAATGTTATGTATCTTTCCCATTGGAAAGTTCCGGAAAAATCGGTTTTCCGAAAGAAGTAACTCACTTTTCCCGCTCTTTTCGTTTTTTTCGGTAGACGCGTGTACCATCTTTCGAAAGTCAAAGTTTCGCGCTCTTTTTTTACTGTTGGCAAATGAATTTCCAACCGGATGGTTSGATGTAAATGGTATGCACCCCAGTCTACCGCTCAGTACTAAGGTAGATTTTTTAAAGGGTTTTTAATTGGTAATCCAATCACAAATAAGCTAATGATTTGGTGATAGTTCCACCCGGTCCTTCGTTATTGAACGTGAGGGCTCGGGAAGTAAAGGTTTCTTGGAAATATTATAACAAGATGTATATGTTAGCTTCAATAAAAGTGTGTACAATTATGTCTAAGTCACCAATTTTGAGTATCTCAGATTTTCTGGCGAAGGTGCCACAAACTATGTGAGGAGTATTGTATGACTTCACGGTGATAATGACGTCACTCTAACATGGATCCCACCCTTCTGAAGAAGTAAAAGCGATTTCAGTGTTGGGTCATATTGTAACATGTGCGTGCTGGGATGCCGTAACTTAATTTTCATTATCTGCATGTTGTCATTGGGTAAATGAAAAGAAAGCAAAGCCATTTAAGCGTTAGGTCATACTGCATGTTACATGTGCGTGCTGGGATGCCGTAACTTAATTTTCATTATCTGCATGTTGTCATTGGGTAAATGAAAAGAAAGCAAAGCCATTTAAACGTTAGGTCATACTGTTACATGTGCGTGCTAGGATGATATCTTTATCTAGACGCTAATCTAATGCACAGACACTAGTCGTGTAATCTGCACTTTGCTAACTTATCAATTGTTATTAAACAACACGCTATTGGTACAGCTTCGAAAAGAAACAGGAAATCAATCAAAAAGACCACATTCATGATTCCCAAATGCATACAACAAAGTCCTCAAGAAAAGCTAGGTCGTACTTTCAACAACAACAAAGAATTTCCCAAAAAAACTGTAGCTTAACTTTTCAGCTGCGTTGTAATGCTCCATGTTTGCTCTCTTTTCGACACATATAAATAATGACCAACCAATTTAGGCTTATTATTACCTCCAGTATTAAAAGGAACCACCGACGTTAATAATAGTTACCTTTTTTACTGTAGTACCAAGTGCGGTTCGCAGTGCATCCTGGAGGATGTAGTACTTGAAGACTTTCATTTTATGCGGAACGGGTTTGCTGTTTTACGACAGCCATGTTGTAAAGCATAATATAATTTCTCTCGCGAAAAATTGGAAATATTAAACAGGAGACACAGCAATAGTCTTTTCCTCCTGGGAAATCAAAATCTTTCTTACTTAAATCAGATTCGACCAGATTCAATTGTTCCTGCCTCCTGTCATGGCTACCATCACGTGATGGTGCAAAGCCTCTATAAAGTGTAATTCGGTCGTTATTGCATCCCGGGAAATGTAGTACCTAGTTAGTTCAACAGCAAATAAAGAATCGCCTCTTTACAGACCTATAACCGGACTTTGTTCTTCTCTCCTACGAAGGYAATCCTCATTCAATTTGTTTTTCTTTTGTTCAGTTCATCTGGGAATATTTGGGAC